GGGGGGGGGGGGGGGGGGGGGGGGGGGATCTCCGTAGTATGGATGTATTTTTGGTAAACGCATTTCTTGTTTGGATAGCACACGGAATCCTTCCCCTATGAAGGGCTCCTTTGTACCATCCCCTCTCTATCTTTATTTGGATACCAAGTGGACTTCATGTGTGTGATCAATCAAGCCTATTACACCATCAGCCCCTTGCTGGAGATGGCGCCCTGGTGAGTATGGATCAGTTTTCATTTCCCTGGCAAGCAAGCACGTCGATGGGCTCCACGAGACCAAATGCGCAGTGCTCCTCTTGCTTGTAGTTTTGGTAGCGCGCGCGTTGTTTGATGACATGGAAGAACGGCTACTATAGCGCGAGAAAGTATGGGACTCATGTTGCCAAGACTGATGCACAGGGTGGCCGCGGCGTGGATTAGGGATTCACGTTGCAGACTATGCAGACTATGCAAAAATGCACAGCGTGTCGGCGGCGTGAAGTACGAGATTCACATTGCACACTAATGTATACGTCGCGTTTTTCCTGTTTCCCTTGGCCATCCACCTCACCCCTCAACCGCTCTCTCGCCCTGGTAACCTGAGCAGGCGAAGGAAAAACTGCGGGAGATAAAAAAGGCCGCAAAAGCCGCAGCAGCGGCGAAAAGCGGCACGACCGGTGCCGGTTCGGCATCCAACGGGGGAGGCGCGAATGGTACCGCTTCGGCGAGCGGCGGCGGTGCGAACGGGACCGCTGCTGTGGATAGCGATGACGACGACAGCGATGTTGCCGGGGGAGGTGAGACGTCGCTCGACGCAATCAGGTTTTCGACAAGAATCAACCGGACGTATACACTATCAACGGCGACATGTGGAAGGGAGGTGTGCCGGGTAAACATCGTATTTCATGGCATGGAAAATGATGCCATCGACATCATGAGAAGTACACCATTCCGGGAACTAGTCGGGGTTGGTTGTCCCGATGAGGTAATTTTTTTTGTGACTCTTCCTTCTGGTGGAGAGTGCCGAGATACCGCTGTATTTGCGTGTACAAGCATTTTTTTTTCTCATGTCGCCCTCTGCTGTTGGTATGCTTCTACACACAAAACACACCGCACACAAACAACCGCACTGAGACTGGCTTCTTTTTATTGGCCAGCCGGTTAGCGCGGTCGATGCTAATAATAAAGAACACACACATACCCACAGGCAAGGGCAAGGAGAGCGAGAAGGACAGCGATGAGGACACGGGGTCGGACTCTGACGCTTCCGACTACGACTCTGACGAGGAGGGAGGCTCCGAAGACGAAGACAACCGGGAGTTCGTGCAGAAGGACGTCGAGCAGAGGGATTTCCAGGTAAGGACAGACGCGGGGGGGGGAGCAGCATGTCAGTTTTTTTGTCGGCGTCGTCAAAGAGATGTCTGAGTTCTTGGTGGAAAAGAAGTGATGCCACAAGGGGATGCGAGGTATAGTGGTGATAGTGCGGATTCATTAAGGACCATGTGGAAACCTACAAGAGGTAGCTTT